GGTTGTCACTGAGGGCCATCCTTCATTTTCTGTCTTTTTCACATTCATTTGTGGGTGCTTCTGAGAGCCCCCCACTGGGTCTGGAGGGAGTTCTGCGAAGAGTGTTTTATTCGGTCTGTGTCACTGCCACTTCATGTGACCAGTACTTTTTCCCATTTCTTGTAAGTGTGGACCATATTGCCAGCGATCTGCTGGGTCCAGTTAGACCTGGCAAAATCAATCCTGACTGCTGAGGGGAAATGCTCTTGGGTGCTTTATCTTTCTGGGAGGGGAGTGGATTGTCACATCTGTGGGAATTAGACGTTGTAGCCATCTGTGGGAATTAGATGTTGTAATGATGCCACTCAGTAAAGTGAATTCCCAGAGGAAAGGGCATCTGTTGAGAATTCCCACCAGAAATCAGGGAAAATCTTACAGATAAATTTGTTCCTAAAGAACTGCCTTCTGGGGCTCAGGCTGAGGGCAGGGTTCACAGGGTACAGAAAAGATCTGACAAAGAAAGCTCGTTGAAGGAGTGGAGCTGTTGGGACCAGGTTGGCTCTTTCTCTTTGCCAGGTGGAGGTCATTCAAGTCCCCCTGGGGGGTGGGAGGCTCTTTGCTCCAGTGAAATTCCTGGAGAGCCAGGATCTGTTTGCCTGGCTTGTAGGACTTAGGAGTTTGGCCTTGTTTTCCAAGTGCCCTCTGCCAGTTGGCCTGGAGAGAGGGCAGTGCCCGCTGAGGCCCTCTGCCCATGGTGAACTGTCCCCAGACAGCCCTTGGAGCCCGTGTGCTGCGCCATCTTCATCCACAGGTCTTTGGGATGAAATATTCCCCTTTTTTCCGGGTTTTTGTTGGGGGAGTGGGTGACAAAGTGGTCCCCAAGATGCTGGGACATGGCAGTAACTGAAGCTAGGTTAGAACTCCAGAGCCCTACAGAGCCACTTCCAGCCACCCACTCTGGAGGTCCCATAAAGGGCCTCCATGCAGCTGAACAGTGAGGTTCTTCATTCCCAGGCGGGTTTCCCTAACGAACAGTTAACCCCTTTAGCCAGCTACCCTTCCTGGAGAAATAGCTAATTTGCTTCAATTATTTGGTTCTAATGGACAGGGAAGGAGTCCAGGAAGAGTAAGGAAGGGAGGAGCAGAATCCTTGGAAGTGAAATTGGCTTAGCCACACTAATAAATTATTAGGACTTGACAAGTCAGAGTGATTGGCCAGGGCTCAGCTTCTTGCTTGCCTCCAGTTCAGTGTCGCTTGAATGTCTTACTGAATCAGTGAGTCATATGTATAATCGCCCACAATCTGTTATTCCACCATCTTTGTTTTTTAGAAGATTCCAGCATTCAGGGAAGTGATCCTCTCCTGAGTGCATCATTGTGTTGCAGTTATTGGTACCTTGAACCTGGGGGTGTGGAGGCTAAGTTTATGCCAGCCTCTAGGGCACAGATGCCGCTGCCCAGCAAGCTTTGGGCATGGCCTGCCAGCTACAGAGATGACCTACCGCTGCTTCAGAACCTTCCTGTTTGTTTACTTTGGCCTGTGGAGTGTATTTTTGGTGCTTCCATTTTCCCCTTTCTGATGGAACCGTGGCCTCTATTCTTTCACAATAACTGCTTTGCTGATCGTGTGCCCTGGGTAGGAACCCCACATAATCAGAAATGCTGGGAAGGCAGCTGGATTGGTGAATAACAGAATCTGAGGAGGCATCTCATTATGCAGGAGTTAACTCCAAAGAACAAAAAGTTGTTTGCCAGTAAATTATTGTTATGATTGTATGTATTTAGTTTTCCACCAGTAACCCTCCCAATAGTCCAGGGATTGTCTCCCGATTTCCCAGTGGAAGCAGGTGGGAGAGAAAGGCAGAATTTCTTACACACATGGACATGTAGATGGTGATTACAGCCTTTCGGGATAATGTAAATATTGCTTGGGTTTGTTTATGTTGAATGTTGTCCATGTGTGGCACTGTGCAGACAGATGCTTATGGTTGATTTGAGCATTACATGTTTATCCAGATGTGTGGCCCCTTCTCTCTAGCTTTAGGTGAGGTATTTCCACTTGAATAGGCCCAATACTTCCTCCCACCATCCCAGGAGCATCCCAGCTACCTGGGTCTCAGAGTTATTTGAGCCTCCTTTGCTCTCCTCCTCTGGCCACCCTGAGGTCTTGTGAGTTCTCCCATTTCAGGCTCGACTTACCCTCGTTTTTTAGCCACACCCTCTGGTTGTCTTCATGTGGACTTGTTTCTTTTCTGCCTTCAGCCCCGACTGCACAGATTGCCCAGGCCCTTCTTGCTCGTTTCCCAAGGAGCCCCTCAGGGACTGTTCTGTGTGAATTCCTGCCCTGTTTTTACAGCTGCTCATAAGTTACCCAGAGCTTCTGTTAGGTCTTCTGTATATCGGGACCATCCTTTAATTCTTAACACAGTTCTTATTGGCTCTTCCTCTTGGAAAGCACCACTTAGAACTCATTGATCTAGGAAGGCCTTCTAGTTTGTTTCATTAAGTATAGTTGATGCCTCATGTACCATGATTCCAAAATAGAGGTTAGAAGGACGGTTGAGATGTAGTCCTGGGGAGGCAGCAGTGAACAGCCCAGGAGTAGCAGCAGACCAAGTGGGCACACAGCAGTCGGAAAGCGCTCTGGAGAAAGTAGCCCTTAAGCTGGGGTTTAAGGGATGAGTGGAATTCAATCAGCAGGGAAATGAGTAGGCTGTAGGCTCGAAGGAGCAGAGACAGACAGGAGTAGACATTCTGCATCCTATTAAGCTGGATCGGAAGTAGTGTGCATTTTCTGTGTTTCCTCAGTTCCAAGCCTTTCGGGCACACCACAGACTCGGTACCAGCTTCTTTGTGTGTTTGCATGTGTGGGTCTTGGTGGCGCTGGGGGTGTGTGACTTTTACATGGACTGCACAATACACTCTGACCTTAGAAGGGTTAAAAAGTGAAAAATAATGAGCATCTCAGACTTGAGGAAACACAGGTGGGAGACTGCCAGTGTGCTGAGGCATTTGGACTTCATTCTGAGGGTGTGGTGAGCCGTGGAAAGTTGTGAAACAGTGAGAGATAGGATCTGTCTGTCTGCCCTGCTTTCATCGCAGAGACAGCAGGGAGAAGAAAGTGAAGAGGGAGGGAGGACTGAACGGGTTGCTGAATTGCTGAGAAGAGGCAGGTACAGAGGAACTGTGGCCAAAGGGACACGTCATCAGTGGGTTGGGTGAAAAAGAGGGTAGATAGTGAACAGGGGGAGATTTCTGGTCAAGGGAGAGCAGGGAAGCCCATCACAGGGGAGCTTTGTTTGGGGAGTGTGACATCCACACACCCACGACTTGCTCCTGATTATCTCAGCACTTAGGAGCAAGTGTGCACTTGGCCTCTGCTTCTTTGTATCGTTCCTGCATTTGATACTCGGTGTCCAGCTGTATCTGTGGGAGGCCTGGGGAGGCTCTTACTGAGGAGATGGCTGTTTACAGTTGGTTCCCTGGCAGTGTTCTGACACCCACCCTCCCCCAAGATGTTGCCAGTGCTTCGAGGTTTTGTGGCTTTGTATCCAGTGGAGTGGAACCAGCATGAGCTGCCTTATGTTTCAGGGCAGAGTGACAGGCGTGAGCATAATGAATGGAGCCTGACTACTGGGGCTGCAGGTCCACCTGGGACCTGTCCCCAGATGGCTTCAGCCTCACCCCGCCCCTGGCCTGCTTAGTCGGTTAGGATTCGATTCTGGTCAAGGGCATGTACCTCGGTTGCAGGCTGTATCCCTAGGCTCCGGTTGGGGTGAGTGCGGGAGGCAACCAATCGATGTGTCTCTGTCACATTTATGTTTCTCTCTGTCTCCCCCTCCCTTCCTTCCACTCTCTGAAAATCAATGGAAAAAGAATATCCTTGGGTGAGGATTAACAAAAAAAACGGAGCCACCATTTGTGTGGATGACTCGGGTGACTCTGCTGGTCTCTGTTTTCCAGGAGGCGTTCTGTAGGACAAGGGAGAAGGAAAATGCATTAATTAAGGAGCGTGGGAGGCTTGACCAGGGAGGCAAGCTGGCAGAGTGGCTACAGAAACAGGCCCTTGGGGACGCACACCTGGATTTGAGTCTGGGCCCTGTTCCCTATCAACTGGGCCCCCTTGTGTGTGCTACGTAGCAGCTCACTCTTGGAGCTTTGGGTTTCTCATCTGTAAAAGGAGGTAATCGCACTTTTTTAAAAAAAATATACTTTTATTTTATTTTTTTTAAAGAGAGGAAGGGAGAGGGATAGAGAGTCAGAAACATTGATGAGAGAGAAACATCAATCAGCTGCCTCCTGCACAACCCCCACTGGGGATATGCCCGCAACCAAGGTACATGCTCTTGACCGGAATCGAACCTGGGACCCTTAAGCCTGCAGGCTGACGCTCTATTCACTGAGCCAAGCTGGTCCGGGCCTTTTTTTTTAAATCCTCTCTTGAGGATATTTTTTCCATTGATTTTTAGAGAGAGTGAAAGGGAGGGGCGGGGGGAGAGAGAAACATCAATGTGAGACACATTGATTGGTTCCTGAGGTACATCACCTTGACCGGGAGTCAAACCCGAGACCCTCGGTCTATAGGCTGGCGCTCTAACCATTTAGCAAACTGGCCAGGGCATAATTGTACTTCTTGTATCAGTATATTCCGGGAGACTTTAGGGATGTCAACTCTGGACAAGGAGCCATCCCCGAGGAGCCAGTGTTAGAGCAAGTAAACAAACCTTTAGTAAGATGCCTTTTGATAGTGAAAAATGCTAAAACATGATGTGACAGAGTGATGGGGATGGTGGTGGGTGGTTTCATATTAGGTGGGCAGTCCAGTCGAGACCTCAGTGACAGGAAGGAGCCTGTCATGGGGAGGATTAGGGGCGGAGCACATAAGGCAGAGGGAACTGCAGGTGAGGGGGAGGGTAGAGAGGACCCGTAGCCATGGCTTGGGCTTGCTGAGGGGAGGAGATGTGTAAAACAGGCGCACAGTACCTGGTCCTCACGGTCAGCTGGCAGTCTCCTGCTCTGGGCTTTGTGCTGACCCCATGCCCGCCTCTTTCTCCCACCAGTGCACTGTCCAGGTCAAGTTAGAGCTGGGACACCGGGCCCAACTGCGCAAGAAGCCCACCACGGAGGGGTTCACACACGATTGGATGGTGTTCGTCCGCGGCCCCGAGCAATGTGACATCCAGCACTTCGTGGAGAAGGTGGTCTTTTGGCTGCATGACAGCTTCCCCAAGCCCAAGCGTGGTGAGTGGCCCCTGGCTCCCCCTCCCCGCCCAGCCAGGCAGCCCCACAGGATCTAGTGCCTACAACACTAACCAATTTGCGTCACTCCTTGCAAGGCTGGTGTTCACCTTCTCTCCAGGGGCGGTGGGCTCACACTCTGAGGTTCTAGCTTGCACCCCTCGGCATGCCAGTGAGAAGTTTACCGGCCAGCACTTGGTCCTTCTTTGACCCTGTAAAGGTCCTCCTCCCTCCCTTCTGCTCCTTTGCTATGGAGTTCATAGTAGGGAAAACCCAAAGGAACTGATGACTGTGTCTCATGTCATTATTTAGACTCAGGCTCTGAGAAGTCTCCAGAGAAAACAGAGTCAGTGGCCAGTGGGTGGGAATGGGTGGTTTACACCCACTTGGTGAGTAATCAGGAATTGCTTGTTGGGCCTACATTTGATGAGAGATGCCATTTTAAGAACTCATGATACTTGTGAGGGGGGACAAAGCATAAAAGGTGCTCATTTCACCACTGTCTTGTTTCTTTTTTTTTTTTTTTAAATTCTTTTTTTTTTAATTTTTACAGAGAGGAAGGGAGAGGGATAGAGAGTTAGAAACATCGATGAGAGAGAACCATCGATCAACTGCCTCCTGCACACTCCCTACTGGGCATGTGCCCACAACCAAGGTTGCCCTTGACCAGAATCAACCCTGGGACCCTTGAGTCCGCAGGCCGACGCATCGATCAGGTCCTGCACACCTCCTACTGGGGATGTGCCCGCAACCCAGGTACATGCCCTTCACCGGAATCGAACCTGGGACCTTTCAGTCCGCAGGCCGACGCTCTATCCACTGAGCCAAACCGGTTTCGGCTGTCTTGTTTCTTATGTCTTCCTTTCCTGTGTCATAAGTCTCTGTGTCACCTCTCAGACTGTTGTTTGATGAGCACAAGCGCCTCATTCATGTTTTCCACGAAGATTCGGATTTCCTGTGACCTGGCAGTCTGACAGGGCAGAGAGAAGGAGATCAGAGAACACTTCCTGGGGAATTTGACGGGGATCCTCGGAACATAGTTGGTAGCCATCTTATGAGCTCTGTGGGGCCATGTTTGCTCTTCTCATCACTGAGTCCCTGTTGTGAAGCCTGGCATGTCACAGGGGCCCAATAAATATTTCTTGAATGGATGTGTCGATGAAGGCATGAAGGACTTTTTGCTAGCAAAGTGCTTCAGGGTTGGGGAGCCACTGCTGCACTGCTGACCCCTCTCCTTGCAGGACAGGGTTTAGGTGCCCAGGCCTGAGCCGGAAGCCAGCTTGGACAGACCCTATGGGGTCTGGGCCTGGGTCAGCAAGTAGCTGACTTACGTTACAGAAGCAGAAACTTCTGGTTAAGAAGGGAAGGCAACCTGAGATTCCTACTGGCATGGTAGTCATTTCTTTTTCTTCTGGTTTCTTCCATCAGCGTTCAGTTATTTCTTTCCTTCATTTCTCTTTTCCCGAATCTTTTCTCTCCTTTCTCTCTGAGCTGCTTGTAGGAGAGCAGACATGTTACTGACAGCAGATACCTGTAAAGCACCTATTAATAATAATAATAATAATAATACATGGCACTATCAAGCACTTCTTGCAGGGTCATTTGTTTGTTTTATATTTTTATTGATTTCAGAGAGAAAGGGAGAGGGAGAGAGAGATAGAAACATCAATGATGAGAGAGAATCATCGATTGGCTGCCTCCTACATGCCCCCTATTGGGGATCAACCCACAACCCAGGCATGTGCCCTTGACTGGAATCGAACCCGGGACCCTTCAGTCCACAGGCCAATGCTCTGCCCACTGAGCCAAACCACCTAGGGCTCCTGCAGGGCCTTGATTCATTCTCCCCATAGCTCTCCTTTACAGATGGGGAAACAGCCTCCAGTGGGCCAGGTAAGCTGCCTGTACTTAAAGCAGTGGTTCACACACTGGCCTGGGGGCCTTCGTGGTAGTGCTGCCTGTTTGTTTTGGCACCCGGCCATGCCCATTTATTTGGGAGTCCTCTAGGGCCGCTGTTGAGCTTTAACAGCAGAGTAGAAACTGGCTGCCTTTTTCCTGTGAGTTGGGCCCGCCTTGTTTCTCTAGCAGCTTCCACTCCATCTCTTTCACCATCTCCCTTGCTTGTCCTGTTCCCTTTTCTCCCAGTGGACTCAGGATGATTATATCCATTCACCTTTAAACTATTTCATTTTTGCCCCTACAGGGTCAGTAACCAAGCAGCTACTAGAAATAATATTAATAGCGGTCTGCATTTGTCAAGCACTCACTGGTCTGTGTGCTGTGCTCATGACAGCCCTGCAACATGGTACGTCCCAGAATTCCTGCCAGGTAGATGTGGAAACTGAGGTTCAGAGAGGCCCCGTATCCCACTTATGGTCATGTGGAAGCAGCATAGTCTCTGAGTTCCAAGCTCCAAGAAAATGGGTGATGAGTGAGTTCCACTTTCTTAGTGTCAGTTAGTGGGTAGAACTTAAATTAGTAGTTGAATGGTGTTTGCCAAGTCTGCTCACACTGTGTGAAATAGTAAATGTCTGGTTGGCTATTTATTGCGTTGAACTGGGGGGCCAGTTCACTGTCCCTCAGACCGTTGGAGGGCCAGACTATAGTTTAAAAAAAAACTATGAACAAATTCCTATGCACACTGCACATATCTTATTTTGAAGTAAAAAAACAAAATGGGAACAAATACAATATTTGTATTTGCACGTGGCCCGCGGGCCGTAGTTTGAGGACCCCTGGGTTAAAGAGTCAATGAGGCCCTAGCTGGTTTGGCTCAGAGGATAGAGCATTGGCCTGCGTACTAAAGGGTCCCAGGTTCGATCCGGTCAAGGGCATGTACCTTGTTGCAGGCTCCCCCTGGTCAGGGCCCTGATCAGGGCGCATGCAGGAGGCAACCAATCGATGTGTTTCTCTCACATCGATATTTCTCTCTGTCTTTCCCTCTCTCTTCCACTCTTTCTAAAAATCAGTGGAAAAATATCCTTGGGAGAAGATTAAAAAAAATAAAAATAAAAAGAGTGAATGAGTTTCTTACAGGACTTTTGGCTCTGAAATTATATGTTATGTACTTTAAAAAAATATCTTTAAATCAGATAAATACACATAATAGGAACGTGCCCGTGGAAAGTTTCCATTTCTTGGGCCATCACTGTTCACATTGCCCCAGGGCCAGTCTTTCTAGTTTTTTCTTGATTGTGTTCTTCCTGAATACCTTAAGTTAGTGGAAGTGAACTGGCTTCTTAATTCTTGATTTTCAAATTTAAAAAATATTAATTTACCAGCATGAAAAGCTAGACTTTATACTAAACTCCCAACTCCTTTTATTCACTATCTGCTCTAAATGTTTTATAGTTAAGTGATTCATTTTGTGGTGATTGTCCTTGTGACTTTAAATAATGAGCGTACCTGCTTACCTTTTGGATTCTCCACAAAGGCTCACTGTCACCCATTTTAAACAAGTCCTCTGGCTGCCAGGTCTAACTCACAGTTGCTTTGTTCAAAACACCTAAATAGCCACATGCTCCTGTCCTTTTCTATTTTATTTTTCTCTTTAGTACCTTTTAACATATTTATATTACTTACCTTGTTCATCTGAGTTGTGTCCTGCCTCAGTGTGCTGCTATCTCCTTGGTCCTGAAAGGATTAGGTAGGCGCTGCCAGCTTCTGTCAGTATCTTTTGACTTTCTGCTTAGAAAGAGAAGGACATGAGCACCCCTGTCTTTCTTTGAATCTTAGCACCCCTCTTTGACGTTGTTAAAGTTGTTGAACTCAAACCAAGACTTTCACCGGGATCAGAAATTGACTAAAAGATGGAAACCAGTAAGCAGTATTGACTCTGTCCACTGTTGGACTAGTCAGGATGCCAGGTTTTCATTCATTCTCTCTGAACTCTGGGTCACTCACAGAAGAACACTCAAGGTAATGTCAAGGCAGATGGGTTCTTTCTTTATCATTCTTTTTTTAAAAATATATTTTATTGATTTTTCACAGAGAGAAAGGGAGAGAGATAGAGAGCCAGAAACATCGATGAGAGAGAAACACCGATCAGCTGCCTCCCGCACATCCCCCACCGGGGATGTGCCCGCAACCCAGGCACATGCCCCCGACCGGAATCGAACCCGGGACCCTTCAGTCCGCAGGCCGACGCTCCATCCACTGAGCCAAACCGGCTTCGGCTCTTTATCATTCTTGGTTAAAATTCAGTCCTGGGTCTTTTGCTTCATGTTTGGGCCCTAACTTTTTGAATACCCCTTTGCTTCTCCCTTTTCTCCCATTGCATTGTGTCTTCATTATACCTCCACTTTTTTCTATCAATCATTTCATTTAATCAATGGATTTTTCCCGCCCTGAGTATTTCATTCTGGTTCTCTCTGTCTTCCTTCCTCTAATAAGGGCTGGCTCCTCTCAAAGCCACCTCTCTAGTCACCCCACTGGGATGTTCCTTTACTGTTCTCCTAGCGGATTTATTTGTTACCTTACGTTTTGTTTTGTTTTTCTGGAGTAATTTCACAAGTAATATCCCAAGAGATTGATTACTTAGGACAGTGGTCAGCAAACTGCGGCTTGCGAGCCACATGCAGCTCTTTGGCCCCTTGAGTGTGGCTCTTCCACAAAATACCGACTTCTGCGCATGTGCCACGAAGTTTCAATCGCACTGTACATGCGCACTCGCATGTGGTATTTTGTGGAAGATCCACACTCAAGGGGCCACAGAGCTGCATGTGGTTCACCAGCTGCAGTTTGCCAACCACTGACTTAGGCCATTTCCCAAGAAAGGTAAGTGGGAAATGAACTTTTTGACTCCTAGTATGTTTGAAAGTACCATTATTCTGCCCTCACACTGGGGTGCTAGTTTGGCTGAGTATAAAATTCTAGTTTGAGAATTGCTATCGTTTAGAGCTTTGAAAGTATTTGCTTCATAGTCTTCAGAAAAGTCTGATGCAGTTAGGTTCTTGTTTTATTGTAAATGACCTGTTTTTTCTCGAGAAGCATTTAAGCTACTTTTTAAGATATGGGTTCTGAGGGTTTTTTTGTTTTTGTTTTGTTCTTTTCTGTGATGTCCTTCATTTAGCTCCAGAAAGTTTTTTTTTATCTTTGATTATTTCTTTTCATCTATGTATTTTATCTGTTTTCTCTTTCTAGGATGGTTATTACTTCTCTGTGTGTAAATATTTTATCTATAAAATGGAAACAATTGTATTTGCCTCAAGATTGTTGTAAGGATTAAATGAATTAATATGTATCAAGTGCTGATAATAGTACCTGGCACACAGTAGGTGCTTTATAAATATTAGCTGCTGTTAGCATTTGTTTGACCTTCTGAATTGTTTCTTCATGTCTCACCTTTTTCTTTTAAGAAACACGTTTTTTTTTGCTCTACATTCTAGGAAATTTCCTTAGCTTTAGTCTTTGCATGGAATTAAAAAAATTATCAGTACTATATTTGTACTAAAAGCCCTATCTTATTCCCTCATTTTCCCTTTTAAAGTTATTTTTGTTTGGGGGCATATTTTAGACCTGAGGACAATGACTCCAGCTTCTTGTTTTTAAAAATATTTTAAATTGATTTTTAAAGAGAGAGGAAGAGGGATAGGGAGAGATGTGAAAGTGAGAGATGTGAAAGTGAGATATCGAACCAGGGATGATGCTTCAAACATTTCTTTAAAATTCTCACCTGAGGACATTTAAAAAATAATTTGATGAGAGAGAGAGAAAGCAAGCAAGAAAGATTGATAGACTGCTTCCAGTATGCATTCCGATCGGGGATCAAACTTACAACTAGGTATGTGCCCTGACTGGGAATCAAACCCGCAGTGTTTTTCTAAATGAGAAGGGCTTTACTCTGTGTCCAGTTTTTATACTGTAGGCTTTAGCTTCTTCTAGACAGTTGACTCTTCTCCTGAGACATGGAATCACCTGGATTTCCCCATAGGGAAGCTTGAAACTGCTGTGCCTGGAGTGGTGGTGGGTGGCAGGATGAATCCCAGGGCCGTTGTTCAAGTACAGCCTCTATGTTGGCTTTTTTTTTTTAATAACTGCTTTACTAAAATAAAAGTCACACATGATAAAATTCATCCTTTTAATGTGTTTAGTTCAGTGCTTTTAGTGTATTCATAAGTTGTGCAACCATCACCACTCTCATTCCAGAACATTTTCATCATCCCACAAGTAAACAAACTTCTTGCCCATCATTAGCAGTCACTCCCTGTCTTCCTCCCTTCCCCTCTCCAGCTTCTCCTGCCCTTTACTGAATCTGTAGGTGCCACACCCCTTGCCTTTTGGGGATCTGGCATCAGTGGGGCTTTTGCCTACCCTGCAGTGCCCCATGGCACGTACTGGGCCGCAGCTTCCTTTTCCTGTCTCCTTGCCCAGCATGGTCTCATTCACTTTTTTCTTTCCAGAAATTTCTCCATACCTTACATCACCTCCCTCCCCTCTTTACTGTCTATTTCCTATCAAATTTGTCTCACTTTGGTTTCCGTGGGCATCTGCTTGGTCTCTCTTTTTCCCAATTCTGAAAGAATAGATGTTTTTCAGCCTTGCAGTGCCTGTCATGTGATAGGCCTTTGGAGAGATGTTGAGAAATCTACACATCTCTTCCTTTAAAAGGTTTGTAGTCTGGTAGAAACATGGAGATCAGATGTGACATATAATCTTTTAAAAAATATTAGATAGAGAGGAAGGGGGAGGGAGAGAGAAACATCAATGTGAGAGCTGCCTCCTGCACACCCCCCTCTGGGGACTGAACCCACGAACTAGGCATGTGCCCTGACTGGGAAACAAATCAGCAATCTTTTGGTGCATGGAATGACACTCAAACAGCTGAGCCACAGCAGCCAGGGCATAACATGTACTCTTGAAAAGATAACTACCCTCAGAAGAAGTAGGTGACCTGGAAGTCAGAGACTAAGGGAAGCCAGGTCAGGCCTCGCAAGGAAGTGGGCCCTGACTTGGACCTTGATGGCGGACGGGAGTTAGACTGGGGGTGGAGGGTGGAGTTGGGAGCAGAACTGCAGACCACTGCCTTGCCTATGCATTTCATCTGTTCCTCTGCTGTAGGCTATTGTGCACTGAAGACAGGCCCCCCTTCCTCTCTGCTCTACTTCCATTTCCTCCTTGGATTCAGATTAATTTAACAAGTATTTGGGTGCCTGCCAGGTGCCCACCCCGTGCTAGACTACAGGGGCTTATGGTTGGTGGGATTGGGCAGAGCATTAGGCAGGCAGCTTTCATGCAGCTGGAGAGACTCCACTTGCTCTCTCAGTTCTCTCAAACAGGGTCCAGAGGTTCAGAGAGAGGCAGGCCATGACCTGGCCTCCCAGTCCAGTTTAATTTTTGCTCCTGGTCCATCCCTTTACTTTGGTGCAGAACCTGAAGGAGCGTGGCATGTGGTTCTCTCAGCAGTATCTGACAGATTCTTGTTGAAAAAAATTTTTAAATATATTTTTTATTGTTGATAGTATTACAGCTATTTTCCATTTTTATTGAATGTTTTTGAAAGATTTGGCTCTGGTCCTGGCCCTGGGCATGTGACAGTAAGTGAAATAGAGCTGATATAAGAATTGAGAAAGGTGGCAGAGTAAACATGGAAGTCCTGTGATTGAGTGACACAGGATGCAGGAGGCCTGTGGGAGGGAACCATGACCTGGAAATGGGGTTGGGGCTCAGAGCAGGGGTCCTGGAGGAAGTGATCTGAGAGTTTCAGCGGGACTAAATCTTAGGACCTGAGTTTGGGCTGAGAAGAGATGAGGCTGGAGGTGATGCACTGCCCCGAAGTCCCCCTTGAGGGGCTCGAAGTCGGGGAGCCATCATGGGACAGTCAGGCTTGCAGAGGATGCTCAGGAGTGAGCCTGAGGCAGGATGGCTAGTGAGTCACTGGGTAGTGACCCACACAGAGTGCCAGGCATGAAGGGTGCGTTGCAGAGCAGTATGAAGGTGGAGCTTGTAGTGCTTGGCATAGGTGATCTGTGGAAGAGGGAGAGTCTCAGTCCTCAGTCCTTGGGTGAGTGGTGGACAGCCTGTGTTCTGAGCTGTGAGACCCTGGAGGAGGTGTAGGTTTAGGAGGGTATGAATAGGTGATTTGGGGCAGGCTATATTTGAGGTGCCCATCCAGCATCCATGGAGGATATCCAAGGAACAGAAGGGGACTAGCTGGAATAGAGATTCAGGCCTAGGTCACCCAAGACGGTGCCCATCTCTGGGGCCAGCAGGGTTTCCCATCCCCTGCTCCCCTGGGGTTTGTAGACTGAGGTCCAAACAAGGCTGTCTGACCAGCCCTGCTGTGGAGGGTCAATAATGACTTCAAGCCCACCCTGCTTGCCAGTTTTCTTTGGGTAGATGAGATATTTGAATACATGATATTAGATAGGATATTTGAGAGCTGAAAAAAGATATATTTTTAAAAAGTCTTAGTGTTTTAATTTAAAAGACTCATGTTTCATTTTATTCCATATACTGTGTTTTAGCAATTTCTGGCCTACTTAGGAATTATCTGACTGATACAGGTATAGGTGCATAAATAAAGTTTTTAACAATTGGCAGGATTTTTCCTGTCTCCCAGTAGTGGTTGCCTCTGGGGACAGAGGGGTGGAGGACAGGGGTGATTTAATCTGTACTGTTCTGATTGTTTTTTCCTTAAAAGTGGGAGAACAATATTTTCACGTTTCTTGCATAATGACAGCATATATGTCAAAACATTGTCAGTACATTCTGGAGGGTGAGATTGTGGGAGACTCTTTTACTTGTACATTGCTGTTCTTCTGGTTTCAACTTAAAAAAAATTCCTGGGGTTAATGAATCTCTCTGTTCACATCACTCAGACAGTTGGGAATGCTTTTGTTAGGTGCTCAAATGGACCCAGGAGAGAATCCCAGCTGAGACCAGGCCATCTCCTCTGGGCATCAGTTCACGTGTCTGAGGGAGCGGTGGAGACAGGTAGATGCTGTAGTGTGCACTCTCTTCCCTGGGAGACCAGGGACCCACGGGGTCTCCCACTTCATACATGTCATACTGACTGCCCTGAGTCAGTTGAACTTGTGTGACCTGTAGCCAGCACTGGCTGCTCTGCCTTAGCTAGTCTCATGTCCTTTCCCACTCTCCCACCATGGCATATCAGGGTCACCTTTCTTCTGTTCTGCTCCTTTGATTCCCCATGACCTCTTTGGCATGGAATTAGGCAGAGGATTCATTACTCACAGGGAAACTGGCTTGCTGAAAAGCCATGCTCTGGCGGGGCCAGTGAGCCCCAGAGAGGAGGCGCAGAACGTGGCGGGCCTACTGCTGCTGGTGGTGAGGCCTTTGAATGATCAGGAAGCTGACAGATGCCTTTTCCCTTTCTTTTTAGTGTGTAAGGAGCCCCCATACAAAGTGGAGGAGTCGGGTTACGCTGGCTTCATCATGCCCATCGAGGTGCACTTCAAAAACAAGGTAGGATCCCGGAAGTGGCAACAGGAAGCATGCACATTTCACAAAAGAGGAAGTAGAATCAGTGACACAGCGCTGAGGGAATGCTGGGATTACTGTTAGCGGAGATGTTCACACTAAAGTCCTGGTTTTGAAGGGTTTCTGCCTCTCCAGTGGGAGATGGGGGCTGGGAAAATGGGCACCAACGGCAGTTGGGAGTGCAAGTGTTTGTGACCTCTCCGGGATCACCTGAAAGTGCATGCATTCCCTAAGTCAGCAGTGACATTCCATGATGGCTAGATTTGTGGATGGTTCTAGAGGCTTAGTACAGGACTGTGATTAGTGCAAAGATCTGGAGATTATCTAAATGTCTGACAGTAGGCGATTGGTTAAAGTTATGGTATATCTCCTGAATAGACTCTTTGATGATCTGGGTGGGGGAGGGAAGTTTTTAATATTATTGAATGAAAAAGCAAGGACTTTTCCAGCCAATATACACAATATAGGAAATAGGAAAAAAGAATTACTGTATACATTAAAAATGTTAACAGGTAATGTGGGTGGTAGGATTATAAGGTGTTTTTCTTTTCCTCCATGTATATTTTATAAACATTTACAGTGAATATATATTGATAACTATTAGTCCATTTGGGATGGTATAACAAAATACCACAGACTGGGTGGCTTATAAACAACAGAAGTTTATTGCTCACAGTTCTGGAGGCTAGAAGTCCAAGATCAAGTGCCGGCCCCTCTTCCCAGTTACAGACTTCTTTCTGTGTCCTTACATGGAAGAAGGGGTGAGAGCCTTTAGGAGTCTCTTTTATAAGGGCACTAAACCCATTCATGGGGGCTCCACCCTTAGGACAAAATCACCTCCCAGAGGCCCCCACTTCCCAACACTGTCACCTTTGGGGGTTAGGATTTCAACAAGTGAATTTGGGGGGGACAGATTCAGACTATAGTTTTAGGTTTTTTTAAAGCCTAATAATTACAATTAAAGAGCTTTCCTGAACTTCCTTCTGCTCCTTCTCACAGACACCTTTCCTGGCTTGGAGGTGGTTTGGCCTTGGTTGGGTGCTTTTTCACAAGCACAGCTGGACTGGCTGCAGGCAGCTCCTCTGTCTTTCAGGAAGGATATCTCCCTGTGAGGCCTGTGGATGCCACCACTTCCTTAATGAGTTCTTTTTTCATGCCTGGCTGTTCTGCAAACCACCTGGTGTCAAGGACCTCTGGGGATGGCACTCAGGTGTGCTGCCCCACTGGGAGCTGAGGGACATTTCAACAAGTGCAGCAAAGTGGGAGTCGACTCTGTGACCATCTGGGGGCCACTTCTCAGAAGCCTGGGCCACCAAGGCTTTCGTGGAAGCAAGGCCTGAGAGTCCTGGTGTCCGGCCACCCTTGAGAGCAGAGCCCAACCTGTCTGCGCCAGGAAAAGGCTGTGCCCTAACATTTCAGCAGGGCGTCTGGAGGAGGTGCAGAGGAGATGGGGATAGTCTTCCAAGGACCTGATTATGGAGGCCAGGCAAGGGCGTGTGGAGGCAGGAGAACTGATGCAGGGGACTCAGTCCTGGTACAGGTGTCACCAGGCTCTCCAGTTCCCTGTGGAAAGGGATGATGAAAGTACCCCCTGGGTGGTTCAAGAGACAGTCCATCTGCAGAAAACGCCAACAGTCTTGTACATTGGCATTCTAGGGCCAGACAGTGGTGATGGAATCCTTGAAGCTAGCTAAGCTAATCTCTGGGTTTCAATTCAACTCCTTTGAGGCTTAGAAGCAGTTTTGGGTCCCACATATCAGCGAGCTTTGGTGTGCCCTTGGGTGACTTGTCTGGTCCCCGACACGCAGTCCTTTCTCTCCCTCCTGAAGGCATGTTTGCAGTCACCTGGGCTCTGGCAGTGTTCACTAGGGCCCTGATGGTGTCCACTCGATTTCCCGCTGTCCCTGTTTCTTTGTGAGGCCCAGGGGTCTGCTGGGAGGCTCCTGCTGTCCCCAGGGGTGTGGTGTGCCATGCTGAAGCTGGGCAGTACACAGAGGTGGCCAGTTGGTCTTAGCGCCCCTTCTCCTGGCACAGGGGATCTTTGCTGATGTTCAGATTCTCCAGAGAGAATGGAGAGAGGTGAGGCAGGTGGTATTTCTGCTCAGCCAGGACCTTTCCCTGTGGTGGCTTCTGCAGCCTCTTAGTACCTCAGACCTCTCATGTGGATGGTGGGGAGGCACCCAGGTTCTCCCTCAAAAGGGGCACCTAGGGAAGTGGTGACTCTTTGGGGCAGCTCTTCTCAATCCTTACCTGAGGAGTGCTTTCCTGGGTTTTGCCATCCAGACTTCAGGGCCATTCCTATACTGAGTCCCTGAGGTGTTCTACCCCTATGTTCCTGTCCCGGTAGGGAAGGGAACAGGTGGGTCTCTGACCATAGGACTTGTCCCTGCTAGGTACAGCGTCCTCACATACACTGGGGCATTGAGGGGCAGAGGACCTCTCCGAGGGTGTCCTGATCTTTCAGATTCTTTGGGCTTGCTTACTTAGGGGTGCTGGATGCGTGCCTGTGTGCGCATGTCTTCCACAGGCAGTGAAGGACCCTGTGCTTCTCTTTAATTGCCTCTTTCCTTTGTGAGGCCCTGAGGTGCTGCTCTTCTGAAGGAGCATGTGTGCATCTTATCAACCTGAGCATCCAGCAGTCACGGCAGCAACTGGTTTTGGGTTAAGGATTTTTGTTCTGGTCCAGTTTTTTAGTTGTAATTTAATACAGCAGAATTTTCCCATTTTAGGTGTAGGTTTTTCAGATTTCAGCATGTGTTTTTCATTTGAACCCTGTTGTTGGTGGATGACTGGTTTTTCTGTAACAAAAAAAGGTCACGTTCCTAGGTTTACTTGTCTGACCAGTTCCTATAGAGGCTGTGTAGCCAGACTGCCACTGTGGGCCTATTCTCAGAATTGCAGCATCTTTTCTCAGGATGTTGGACGCTGTGCTCTGCAGGCTGCTCGCTTGAGTCCTCTATTCCTGATGGTGGTTTTGTCCTCAGAGATGGACTCTGCGCACACAAGGGGTCTGGGATACAGTGAAGGTACTAAGTGGGTTTTTAGCGTACTGTGCTAAATGGGTACTTGTCTCCAAACAAGCCCTGGAGCAAGGTGATGTCCCCATTCTATGGAAGAAGCTTCTGGATACTCAGTCACAGGCTCAAGGCCACACAGTAAGTTGCGGAGTTGGGATTTGAACCAGCAGAGTATGTAGTCCTATATGCACACCTGAGACATGCTTGACCTAGAGCAACAGCTGTTCATGGATTCTGGTTTTTGGTGACTTCTGGGTGACAGGGACAGTATGATTTTATGTATTGTGTTTTGCAGATGTCTAATTGTGGGTTCCTGCTTTGGACGTTTTGTAAAGATCAGAGAGTTGTGGAAAAGTGAATGGTGGTTCATTGCAAAAGTAGCTTGTACAGGTTTGGAGTAGTGTTGGAAACAGGGTCATCATGAATGGATCCACTGGTGATTTTTCTGCCCTGATGTAGGCAATGGTTGCATTTGGTTTTCAGCCATGACTTAGTCCTCTGCTGTATGTAAGGTAAGTGGGTTTTTGAAGTGGGAAGTGGCTCTGTGCACAGGTTACTTCTCTGGGCCTCAGTCCCTCCATGAGATGGACTTCCTAATTGTGTCAGCTTCTCAAGGCTGTTAAGAAGATTCACAGAGAGATGGACAGTGAGGTCCTGGGCCCAGTACCCTGCACATATGCATTTCATTAGTTTTGTGCTGTTGTTGATGCTGAAGTGTTTTTGCCTCTTTCCAGTAAATCTGGGTAAGAGAGGTGAGTGGACAAAGCAGTCTTGGAGGCTTCCAGGCCCAGTGGAGGTTGAGGTCCCAGAGATGAAGAAAGATGACTGGCTTCTCTGGTGAACAGGGTTGCTCTACACCCAGGACAGAAAAGGCGCTTTCGCAGACTCAGGCGGTTCTCTCATGTAAGCGTAAGATGTGTTTAACCACATTAGCTCCTGAAGGTGGCATCGACAGTGAGATGAAGGAATTCTATTTTACATGATGTTTGGCACTAGAACTTACATAAGGACAACGTTTGACCTGTTGGCAGGACGCTCTTTTAGAGATAACCACTCCTTTCCCCCAAGGGAAAAAATGAGGGTGGGGCTTTGATTACAAAAATAACATTTGAGCATCATTAAACTGTTTTTACTCTGCTTGCTGCTTCTGACACCAAGTGAAAGGTTTTGTTTTCCTTCTGAAACCAAATGCACGCTGCCTTTTCCAGCACCTCTTCTCCAATTCTTTGATTCTCTAGGCACTGGTGGTGTCCAGCAGTACATTTACTTCTCATGCCATCTGCCTAGAGTTACCACAGACCCTACAGGGTAAGGGCTCAGCCCCACAGAAATGCCTCCACTTCTACAAATTAAGGGTTCCCATGAACCCCTCCTAAAGTTTTATAATTTGCTAGAACAGCCCACAAAACTCTGATAAACATTTTACTTACTGTTATCATTTATTATAGGGGATACAATTCAGGAACAGCCAGATGGGAGAGATGAATGGGGCAAAGTATGGTGTAGGGATACAGAGCTTCCAGGTACACCACCCTCCCAGCATTGCACATGTTCACCTCCCTGGAAATTCTCCGAACCCTGTTGTTTAGGGGTTTTTATAGAGGTTTCATTATACAGACACGATTGATTAGATCATTGGCCATTGGTGATTAACTCAATTCCCAGCTCTTCTTCTCCCCCCAGAGGTTGAAGGTGGGGCTGAAAGTTCTGAGCTTCTAATTAAGGCTTAGTCTTTCTGGGGACCAGCCCAATCCCAAGGCTGTCTAGGGGCCCACCAGAAGTCACCTCATTACAACAAACGATGCTCCAGTCATCCCTATCACTCAGGAAATTCCAAGGTTTTATCTCTGTCGCAGGAAATGGAGACAGAGACCAAATACTTTTCTATGAGACCATAATTATAAAAAAAATGATTGAGGTGAATCACATAACATAGTTAATCATTTTAAAGTGTACAGTTCATTGGCA